GCCATTAGGCAATCCGGCGCTATGTAGTCCAAATAGGCAGACTTTGAAGACCCCGCGCGGTCGCGAATGGTTCTATTTACAAGCACAATACAATTTATTCGCAGCGATGATACGATCTGAAGAATTGTAGTAGTTTACTTACCTTCGTATTTGTAGCCGTTGGAAATATGCGGCATGAATAGAGAAGTTGATTGAGCGTTCGGCTTACCGAGCCGAGAGTTAAAAGCAATTTCAAAACACCTATGGGCTCTCACTCTCGCTCTCTGCCTCTTACTCGATTTCCACTATGATCCCAATGTTTACGTCTCCTATTCACAGCAGTAAATACACATTTATTTGTTTGGTCTGTATAAGGAATACCTCATCTTAATTAAAGTGCGGGCCGCATTTTGAAAAGGAGAGCCTCAGCGTTCTGTCCTCTCCCCAGCACTTTTTGAGAGAATTTCTTATTTGGCAGCATTATTCGGGCTTTTCTGAACCAACGGACAGCACCAGAGCACTTCCGTGCAAATTCCAAAACAGCTCCACAAGTCCAAATAAGTGAAGTCCACACAACATTTGCGTATCACTTAGCTACATGCTCGTTACAGTATAGCGCGCTGCGTTGTTTCACTTGCTGTTTATTTATTGATTTTTGCTCGATTCAGCTGTTTTGTTAAAAAGCTAACTCGTTGAAAATTGTTATTGTGAAGCGAAAAAGGAAGAACAAACAAAGAGCCTCCCTCGGCGAAAACGGAACCGGGATTATTTATGGGATTTTTGAGTGCTTACTATAATTCATCTATTTTTCTTTCTTATAAAATAGGTGAGTAGCATGAAAAGGGAGTAACTTCTTGGAGTTTTCTTCGCTGTTCATGCAAGTGGACCGATAGAATCACTATTGTAGAATAAATACTTCAGATATCACAGAGTTAGAGCAAAATGGGCTGACATGTACATAATAAACGTTACCGTCTTTTCGGTGCTTTGCCTTTCTTTGGGAAATATCGGAAATTTTCAGTCCTTATGAGGGGCACGTCAACCACCATTCGTGGCGCATTTATCTAGAAACACTATGAGACTCAACAACGACGAGAACGAACGAAAGAACGCGAGAAGATGCAGACCCTGGCTTTGAGGACCCCAAAAAGCCGATCGTGGCACTGTGGAACTGCTACCTCATTCGTGGACACCGGTATAGTGGAAAAAGGGCTTGTTTGCCAGCTTACTAAACAATCGTCAGATCAATTCAGAAATGACATAAAAACCTACATATATATTATTTGAACTTAGAATTAAGGTACCACCTTCTTAAAATAGCCCATGAAGCACCATTTAAAGTGTAGAAATACTTTTATTCGTAAGTATAATATAATATAATAGACAATGCGTTTCATAATTATAGCCCTGAAAGAGTTGCCCAAAAACTATGCATTTCCAGAACAAGCATTTTACTGAGAAAATTACTAGTATCACCAGCTCCATCCTCATCATAAACAAACCCAGTATCGCATTTTTGGCAAGAGCGGCTTTTTCTGTTTTTACTAATTGAGTATAATAATAAAGCGCTGTATTAAAGGGTACCACGGTTGCTCTTTTGGGATTGTTGAACACTTATTGACAAGTTAGTCGGTAGTGCATAGGTCAGTACTTGCTCCTACATAAAATCAACTCCTGTCTTCCAAGCACAAAACCAAGTTTTGTGATGAAGCAATTTTTTTATATAAATAAATTTTTTCAGGGACCAAAATTTAGACAGGTAATGCCCCGTGAATCTTCTCGATCACGCTGCTTTGGGATGACAAGTTAGCGTCTTCTGTCATATTTCTACCACTATTTTTTACAATCATACCAAGTACCATCTTTCACAATCCGAATATTGATGAAAGTGGAGCTAGAAAAAAGAGGGGTGTTGAATGAGCAGGAATGGTAGCGCTTTGTGTAGCATAGGTTTTTTTCGAACTTCGAAAAAAGCGCCATCTTTGCGCTATGCTAATGTCATCAGGAAGACAAAAGTGTTGCTTCTGACCACTACCCAATTTACTTACTTACTTAGAACACTTAGACGACCCGTCCATCAGCGACGGCGGTTGGCCTTGCGCGGGTCCCAACTTCTTTTCCATTGTTCTCGATCTTGGGCTATGGTTGTCCAGTGTGTGGTCACCCTAAAGGACTCTGGATCATAGATGTTGTTTCGATGAGCAAGGGAATCTGCCCATCGTAAAGGAGGACGGCCTTGCGGCCGTTTCTTCTCGCGCGGGTACCATCGCACAGTAGCCGAACTCCATCGTCCGTCATCCCTCCTCATCAGGTGGCCGGCGAACCTGTGCTTCGCTTCATCGACGTGAAGAAGAATATCTTTATCTGTGACATGGCTCTAACGTCAGAATTATGAAGTTTCAGCTCTCGTTGGCGACTCAACGTCAAACCCAGAAGACGGCGTTCAATCGATGCCTGGGTAGATAGTAATTGCCTTTCCTGTGATTTCGTTAGTGCCCAGGTTTCTCCTGCATAGCTGAGGGCAGGCAACACCGTTGAGTTGAAAAGGTCCGCTCGGAGTTTGCGATCCTTGGTGTCTTCCATTACGCTTCTTATAGAGGAAAACGCAGCCCATCCAGCCTTGCGCCGTCTTGCTAGCTCTCCAGCCAGGTCGTTCTTCATGTTAAGCTGGCTCCCGAGGTACACGTACTCGTCAACGTCTTCAATGGGACTTCCTTTCAAAAGTACGGGAGTGCTGCCTGAGAATGGGTTTCGCATGACTTTGGTCTTAGAGGTATTGATAGTGAGGACCATAACGGCCCTTCCCCTATGGCATACCAGACGATGCAGGCATTTCAGCTAAAAACCTTATGGGACAACAGCTGCACGGTCCCAGCTCAAGGTGGGTCTTAGACGGATCATGGGCCATTGTGATGTTATCTGAAAGGCCGGTCGAGAGGGGTTATGCGCTTAAAGAAATTTCATAGCACTTCACGCTGGAAAGATTACGGAGGCCTTTTTGAGCTAAACTGAGATGGGAGATGAAGTCATATTTTGAGAACGGTGAGGGCAATAAGGAAGACCCGCTTCTACCAACATTAGGACATCTAACAATAAGGGATATTTTGCCATAAAACTTTCATCAACAGCGGCACCAAACGAAAATTCTATGATAGGACCATGGCTGCTCTCTTTCTTTCGGCCACCTTATATTATATATACATTTATTTATTCATTTACTCAGAAAAAATAATCACTGGACTGTGCCAAGCAATTATCGGGCGTTCCGTTTTACGAGCCTCGTGAAACGCGTAATTTTTTTAACATTAGTGCTTTGTAATTTATTGTTAATTATTAGGAATTATGAATTGTGTATTGATGGTAAGAGTAGAGTGAGAGTATTATCAGTATGTTTATATTAAAAATTAAGAATTAGTAAAATTCTGAAAAAACTGTCGTAATTTCTAAATTTATAAGACAAAACGCTTTTATCCGAAAGACAAAACGTTTCTTCTTTAGTAAAATTGTCGCGCCACTAAATATGTACCTTGCACACACTGATCCTCTCTTTGAAAAGCTATCATTCATGTCCTCGTTACCAATGAGTGCAAAGTTCCTCAAGTTCCTCACCGAAACTGGCACATACATAGTGATGTTGCTCTGCAAAGGTGGTAATAAGTGGACAACTCAGCTTCTCAGCGATGGGCAATACCAAATTCTCAGTCATTAGGGTGGATTTTTTGTATCCACGCCTTTAGAATCTTCCTAAAAACTAGTGACTTGGAAACGGACTACTGCTGTTGTTTGGCTAGTAAGCCTGGCTTTGATTTACCTTTCAATTCTTTCGGTTGCAGTTTTCTCTGTTTTCCTCTGGCATGGCTCATGAAACACTACCATAGATTACATAAATCAGAACGTATGGGAAACAATTGCTTGAATTAAAAAAAGTTTGTTTCGCCTCTAACCCAGGCGAAACACTGAATTCCGTCAACCCCCTGAGGCTCGTCAGTGAGTGCCGATGCCTATGATACTTAAGTGAAGTGTCATTGTATTATAGAAAGTTCAAAATCCCAGTGCAGGAGTTTACTCTCGTATCACGTGCTGTTCCAGATTTAGAAGTAATATTTTCCCTTTGACACATGGTTCTAGGTATTTGTGTGATTGACTGCTTGAAAATGTTGTCTCTATTAAGGCATGCACTGCTGCCATTAAACAGCTCTTCTGCGCTGTCGCCCTTTTCCGGGCACACCAACATCAGCTATGAATATACACGCTACGGAAACATCTGTCATAACCGAAAACGTTATTACATAGCAGTAAAGGCGGAGGAGGGGCACATGGACAATGGAAAGCGTGCAATTTGAGTTGCGGCATTCACGAAATGCCTGGAGACTTAATGGCAGGTGTGCTCTCCTAGAAGTCAACGACTTTTGCAATTGAATCCCAAGTTAGGTAGATGTTTGTCTTCAGCAAGATTCGTAATTGACATTTCTTGACCTTGCGCTGAAGATTAACTTGATTCGCTCTTTGAGTGATTGAGTGGGTGCATGCTCTCTAGAAGCGTATGGAGTTGATAATCGTTGAATGAAACTTCAGCTAATTCCGGTAGCCAGGCCGGAGTGTTCGATAGGTTTCTCCTTTTAATCCTTGTTAACAGCAACGCACTCCCACGTCTTTCAGTGTACAAGAACTCCTAGCGCCAGTTATCCTCTGTCGTTCACTCAGCGCGTGTGGTCATTCTAATTGTGAATTCATGTATTTTTGACTTGAACAAGGGATTGCGATGGCGCCAGGGCCAATTCACCATCACCATACCACGCCATCACAAGTGCCACATAGCAACACACGCTGCCTCCTACTCCTCCATCTATCCGGTCTCATCCATTCATAGTTGATTAGATGACTTTCCCCCGTCGTCGTCTTCGATCCATGAGACGACTTGCTGACGACCATTCTTGAACTCAACGCTCTTTTAGCCCTCTTCAATCATTACTACGGCTAGACAACACCTTTGAGCCTTCCCAGACAAATCTTATGGTCAAATGTCGACCAGAAATTCGATTGCTTCCTTGTCGTCTGGCTCGACAAAAGTTGAGACACGGCTTGTTGACATTCCATCCAGAAATTCTATCTGTTCTCATCCATATGGTCAGGAAGGCGCTATGATCCCTAGTAGTAGCAGTAAAGATGATGATCTCCTCAGCTCATCTAGTGATGAGATTGAGAAGATGGCTATGAATACACTCGAACACTTGGAAGAGGTACGGACTATCCATTGGTTTCTCGTACACTTAATTGGCTCTCAACTTTTTTGTTGAACTCAGAACAAAAGTCCTGCCATAATGAATCATCGACTTGACGATAAAAAGCAAACTCCAACTGACGATGAACGAGCATCCGAAAAATTGAAGGAAACCGACGAGCCTCAAGGTATCACTATTCGCGCTTGAACTACTCTTAGATAACGATTTCAGTACTGCAAATTTCGGGTTATTTACTCTCTACAAAAACACGGGATTGACTTAACGCCCAAGAAGAATGGACAGTGTTCCATTCTTCTTGGGCGTTAAGTCAATCCCGTCCTCCCCAAAATCTGCCCGAGGGTTCTTTTTTCAAAAAGCTTATGAACATTTTCTGCTTTCTACATATTCTAACGCAGAGCGAAGATACACGACAGTTCGGATCTCCTGATACTCAGAAAAGCTTGACCATCACCTGCCCTTCCTTATTCAGCACATCTTGTTGCATGTGTTCTTGCAACCCAAGTCATAGAGTGCTGCCTTCACACTCTTTCGGAACGCTAACAGGGATCTACCTCCGGCTACATTCCTCTCCCTCCCCCCCCCCCCTTCCTACGCTGCATTTTGTGTGCAGCCTCACCCCGCTATTACAGTGGGTTCTGTGAAGAACTCTCCAACTTTTATCTTCTTGTAACCTTGGCATCTCAGTTGTAAGTTCTAAATTTTGTGCCTTACGAGGTTGTTTGGTGGAACATTTATTAAATGGCCTAACGTTTCGACTGAATCGTCGTCTTCAGAGGCCGTCGGTTCCACCCTTTGAGCGGAAGGTCCGCTGCCACACAGAGCGTTAGTCAGTTGCAATTATCGGTGGTTTGAGTTGCAACTGACTAATGCTCTGCGTGGCATCGGACCTCTACGCTCAAACGGTGGGACCGTTGGCCTCTGTAGAAGACAATGAAGTCGAAACCTTAAGCCACAGAAATAATTGTTCCACCAAAGGCACAGGAAATTTTGCAATCTTACAACAGTGGGTTCTATTTGAATATTTATTTTAGCTCCTCTTGAAATCGGTGTGATTTACCGCACTTATTTAGCGACCGCTAGAAAACCGCATGAATGGTTAAATATTGGCTGTAGGTATTACAATGATGGATGACGCAGTTATTCGTTCCGTAGCTGTACTTAGAAAGCACTGAATAGCGCTTGGACACAATGAGCAATTGGTGCACTTGATTTATGCAACGGATTGAAGCTGAGCTTTACCGCACTTAACGTGTTTGGTTGATTCTCAAAGCGATATTCTCCATTTTAAAGTCATTTTTTTCTGCAATTACTTGGACTTTTCACATGTTTAAATTTGAAACATGTGCTATCCACCCAAACAGTTATTCTAAAGCAAGCTTTAGAGCTTTTTTCAAGACATACATAGTTACTACTGCTTCTTCTCTCCCACCGTAATGAGGAAAACTACAAGCATTGGTGAGAAAAATTCTCTTCTATTCAAACTGATTGATCCAAAAGCTCTATCTGCAGGAGTTCATTCTTCCAAATGGCGTTGAATCTACCAATAAAAAATATATTGGAAAACATCTGGCCATTAGGAGACACGACAGCCGTGTGGGCGGTCTCACTTTTCCCAATTGGTTGAAAAATTTCCACTAACTGGATGGCTCTTCAAGAAGTTTCTGTAATTATCAAATGGCTGTGGCGAAAGCTTTGTTAGAGTCAGCATAAATAGTCTGTTGTTTGATGCAGTTTGCGTCCCTTTCCTTCATTCACGTACATAGGTTTTTATCCAAGCTTTGAAATAAGGAGCATTACCATTTTTCATCGGAGCTTCAGGATTTTGAAGCTCGATTTTTAGCGCTGAATGCAGTAACAATGTAGCTACGAAATGGGATGATGGTTACTGGATCATTAAGGCAAAGGAAATGACAACATTTAGTGACTATTGATTGAAACGAGACAGAGCTAAACACTAAAGCTTTTACATAAGTTTAAAGTTTGTAGTGGAACTGTTACCCTCAAGCCACATTTACCAAAGCATGACTTTAACAGTTGGTTTTTTACGGGTTAGCAAAGTGGCCTAGGGAATTTTCGGAACTCTGGAAATACGCTGTTGACACGGATGGTGGATGAAGGTAAAATACCGCCTTTTGGGTAATTTTTACATGTAAATTTTGCCTAACTTGCACTTAACTAGTTCATATTTCAGCGAACATTCAAAATGAGTTCGGTGTGTGCGGTTGGATCCTCACGTTACTTTCATACCTCCTGATTTTTGTAACACTACCTATATCAGCATGTATGTGCATTAAGGTAAGCGTATGTATCTATTCATAAGTGCTATGGTTTTACTAGTTGATTTTCTGTGAGTATTAAGGATATTTACTCAGAAGGAAGGCACTAACATAAAGAGTGCACTTGGCTTCATGCTACAATGTATACAATTGAAAAGGGGAGTGAACGGATCATTGTCCTCTATATAGGCTGTTGTCTGTGACTGCATTATGTTTACGTGTAGGGAGTAAAAGTTAAGGTACATACAGTAGCGGTCAAAAGTGTTCGCCGAAACGATTTTTAGTGCATTATTTTTTCTCGCTTGAGCAACGCCCTCCAAAGATTGATATACTATGTTTCTAGTGTTTTTATATCCTCAAGTCTTAAAGAATCAGGATATTCAAAAGAAAAAATTTTCGAGGTCACCATTGATTTTTTTTGGCAAAAAAAAGAGAAGCACGAAAAACCGTTTCGGCGAACACTTTTGACCGCTACTGTACATATCCAGAAAAGGTTTAGAAATCATAAAGCGCTGAACACTGTTCAATCTCTTTTTTGGATGTGTCCTGGCTCCTAGCAACCAACTACGAAGGGCTGGGAAGCTTCCTTGACCTCCTCAACCTAAGTGAGATTACATCCGCGTTGTGTCCATAGACCGCGCCCTTAGTAAGCGGCGCCGCACGCCACTGTACAACTACTGTACCAGCACATAGCAGTACAATAAAAACGTACCAGGTGTTCACGAAGGATGCTTAGGATCGCTCAGTTGACGGGGTGCAAGCTAACTTCCGTATTCCATCATGTGGGCTGTAGAATTGTCAGGTTTTTGTTGGCCCTTTCTGTGTTTGCCACGTGTCGAATATTAGTTATTATCTCAGCGTTGTGCTTGTTTTTACTGCTCCATACACTTAAAGTTAATGCGCTTTCCGACAAAGTCCAATGATTGAGCTCGGGTTTACCTGCCAAGCCTCCGCAGCGTCGAGCTGTCAACAAAATGTTTCAACCTTAAAAATCAAATTGAAAACATCTCGGGCGCCCTTGTGAATAAATAGTCCTTCTGATATGTCCGATATTTTTTGCCATGCGCAAATATGACCAGTGGGAAGCGCCCAGCAGTATGGTCTTTTTATGGCGCCCCATCAAAGGTGAATTCAAGGCACCCTTCGCAGCATACCTTCGGGTGCGAAGTTCTTGTAGAGAGCAAAGTTCTGACTTGCTCATTCACAATTCGCTGCAGGTGATTGCATGTGGCAGGTGCGCGCTTGAAAGCTTGACTTGGTCAGAGGTGACTCACAAGACGTTCACATTCCACCTGCTATGTAGTTGTTGAGCCACAGTCTGCTAGACAAAACAGCACGGCTCACTGCCTTCATAGGATCTTTTGATGCGTGCTTTCTTAGTGGCGGATTGCAACAGCGAACAAATTATGCCAATGCAGAACTTTAGTGGTAGACTAAAAATCCTCCATAGTTGCCATTTTCTAACAAAACAGGCAGTGTGGTTGTTGAATCAAGAGGTTATTACTATACGGTGATATTCTCAAAAAGCTCACGCAACGCATGGAACCTCGGCAGGAGCCTTTTTAGTTGTTTTTTGGGGGAGGGGGGAGGTGGCGAGAGAATTCTACCATTTTCGAAATTTCATTGTTTTTGTCCTCTTAGCAGAGGTATGTATTACATACAACCCACCCATTCCTTTTTCATTAAGTGTTCCTTTGAAGGTGGCACAAGCGAGTTTCAGGACTATCAAACGCTTACTCATGAGTCCTCCAATTCACCCCTTCAGGAAAGGGAGTGTGGGGTGTGGTCACTCTCACTTGCAAAATTTGGGATGAAGGTGTGGAAAAGCGTTCAGTTATGAAGCTAGAGGTGGGAGGTGGTCTGTAAAAGAGAAGGAAAGCAAACGAAACCACCGATTACGCCCCGCACAGAGACCTCCCTATTTCAGCCGCATTCCACCTTGGGATAGAGAAGGGCGCGTTGGACGAGTTTCACGAACCTAACTCTAGTTGCTCCAGTGCCAATGACATTGGATCGCAATGGGACCGCTGCCTCAAATGCGCCCGCGCTTTTCAAGCAGCGCCACGTGGCAACCGACAGCGGAGGGTGGGGCTTGCGGACGAAGGTGTGAGTTGCGGGTCGGACGAGCTCCTTGCGCCTTTGTCGCGCACTTTCAAGCGCAAAAGGGGCGCGACATCAACACTTGTCCGCCTGTACTACCGGGATGGAACAGGCGAGCGCGCCTAATCAAGGAGCGTGCCTTTAATCTTTCCTAACCCAACGGTTGGCCCTGCGTTGCTCGCGCGTCTGCTTAAATTCTTGGGCATCCAGTTTCATTAACTCATAAATTGATGACAATATTAGAATTTAAAATTTGTGTTTAATTTGTCCAACGTACTATCAACTACAGGTTGTACAAGAATATGAGCGAGCTGTTATATTCCGTTTGGGACGCTTGATGCCGGGCGGCGCCAAGGGCCCAGGTAAGCCTTGTTTTAGAAGTAATACACTTTTTGGCAATCCCTTTGGATTTAGCTCTGGACTCAAATGCGTAGATGGATGAACCCTAAGAGTACTTTTTTTCGTAGAATCAAGATTTCTTCATGTGCTCAGAAATTCTCAATTTCAACCTAATCTGAGGGGGAGCCCTCAAACTTCCGAAGTTGCCCTGTAGGACCATTCTTCGTAAGTTTCCCTTGCATTCCTGTCTGAAATTTCTGTACGTATCTATACCAATCGTGTGATGTTCTGGTTTCTCAATTTAACCTTTTTTCTATTTCACTTAGTTGACTGAATCGTGAGTATTTATGAAACTTCTTCCATTTACTTGTTCCATTCAGTCCGAACCTACGACGCTTCTCTGTCTCTTCTCACTCAATAGGCTCTCATAGCAAATCTCTTTCTATAAATCATCTCACATGCTTTCAACGGTCATCTACCACGCGAGATGATATATTTTTAGTTTTTTCAACTGTTTTTATAATTTCATTCCTCTTGGCTCATCCATCATCTATACAATCATGAAAGCAGGGTAGAATCGAAATACAATTGCATCTTGAACATCAGAGGTCTTACTGTTAGTAACGTTGTTTATCCGATACTATAATAAGAGGAACAAAAGAAAAACCGACCAATAACAAAACAAAGAGATAGAGCGCGAGGCTCCTCACCGTCTGATTGGTCCCTTTTTTCTAGATTCTCGTGCAAATGAAATTCATTATATTCAGGTGGATCTCTTTGATTGCTTGACAAAAGTGATTTCAGGCATCTTTTTCATTGTTCCTTGTATTGATACGTATCGAAAAGTTGACCTCCGAGTACTGTCGTTCGAGGTCCCACCTCAAGAGGTAAGATTCTTTCTCAGTAAACCCGGCTGTACTTATCTATTCAATCCTACTTTCAGATATTGTCTAAAGACTCTGTTACTGTTGCAGTCGATGCTGTTGTATACTTTCGCATATCAAACGCAACAATATCGGTACATTAATAAATATCGTTTTTTTTTCGGAAATGTATCCATTTTGTTGTGATTGCAGGTCACTAATGTTGAAGACGCTGCACGATCGACGAAATTACTCGCGCAGACGACACTCAGAAATATTTTGGGAACAAAAACCTTGGCGGAAATGCTTTCCGATCGGGAAGCCATTTCACATCAAATGCAGGTAGCACAAATCTTTCTAAAAATACAGTGTGGTCGTGTTAACCGTGCTGTAACGCTCGATCATGCTCAATCATGGCGCGTGACCTATTTGAGTAGACGACCCCCCCCACCTTAGATGGGTAATGGTGTCGTTAGTGTCGCAAGAGCAGCCCAGTTTGATACACTTCACTCCGCCCGCAAATCTAACACGTTGACGACAGCATGACGCGCATGCGCGTCAGAATTTCACCCGATTCTGGCTAGTTTTTTTGGTTTATTTGGCCTTTTTCATATTTCAAAACTGTGTGCATGCGTTATCTTATCCGAAAAACTGTGAGTCAATTACCAGTAGTGGAATTATTGAAGAAGTTATGACGATTGTGAAAAAAATAAACAAAAAGTTGCCAAGGTACACGCATAAGGGGCTGTCGTCAATGTGTTAAAAGTAGCGAGGAGCCTAAAGCTGTTAAAACGACACAAAATGCTGGGATTTCAGAATTTCTCCAAATTCCTCAGAGAAAAAGTCGTTTCCCATGTCTCACAAGAGTGGCCCAGTTTGTCCAACACGGCTTCTATCCCGATATGACGAAACGTGACCCGTCTTGTATGGGTCGGTCAGGTAATTCAGTGCAGGGTCGCGCGGTTGACCGTGCTCTTAATTACAACATGCATATCTGATCGACACGACCGACGATTTCAAGCGAAATTATTAGAATGTCGAATAATTCGAAAAACCTGTAATTTTGCTCAGTTCTTTGTTCTTCAGACTACTCTGGACGAGGCCACGGAGCCTTGGGGAGTGAAAGTGGAACGAGTTGAAGTCAAGGACGTGCGACTCCCAGTCCAATTGCAGAGAGCGATGGCAGCTGAAGCCGAAGCGGCTCGGGAAGCCAGAGCGAAGGTTCTTTAAGCTTTTATGAAAAAAATGTATGCGGCTGGTATTCTGTGTGACCTTTTCCATGTAAACTAGTGCAGAATCAAAGGTTTGTGGCTGGTTTCGCGTTTAACGAAATCTTCCGTTTCATACAGTTCAAAAGCACTGATCAGCCGCATCCCATATTTCTCCGACAGCAACGACGACTTCATGAATTTAACAATCTTTCAATGCTGATTAGAACTAAGAAAGATTACGCTGATATTTTCGTTAAATTTTTAGGCACTCCTGGATTCTCCTGCTTTAGTTAGCGACTATTCACTCATTCAATGTGCTTACATAATATATTAAAGTTTTCATCTTCCTAGACCATTCTGATACTAAATGATCGACTCTGAGTTAAAAGCCAGGATTCGGTCAGGGAATTGATTAACACGTTGACGACAGCGTGACGCGGTAACGCGTCCCACCCAAGTCATCCCTTTTTCTTGCGCTTGTGCGACTTATTCCTAAGGTCTTTGTACTCATTCTATAGGTCATACATTAGCATACTTAAAAACCACATGGCTCACAGAAAGGCCAAATATTCTTTAGTTTGGCAGAATTTTCCAGACCTTATGGATATGACTGTTCGATTTATTCAAACCAGTCGCATCGCCCGGCTACGCCGGGCTCTGCTCCTTTTTGAGTCGGAATGCCCGGCGTAGCCAGGCGATGCGACTGGTTTGGGCATTTCTTCAATTCGCACACGTCATATAGCAAGTATTGATTGGGTGCTGTGGAAATTCCTTCGGGTCACGTGCTACCGATCGATATCGATTGAAAATATCGGTTTTTGCGCAGAGGGCTCGAATGAGGTTGGGAATCACAGTATTGATTGGGGGCTGTGGTAAAAGTCGAAATTCTATCGGGTCACATGCTATCGATCGATATCGATTGAAAATATCGGTTTTTGCGCAGAGGGCTCGAATGAGGTTGGGAATCACAGTATTGATTGGGGCTGTGGTAAAGTGAAATTCCATCGGGTCACATGCTATCGATCGATATCGATTGAAAATATCGGTTTTTGCGCAGAGGGCTCCGTTGGGGTTAGAAATCGCAGCATTGATTGGGTGCTGTAGGAAGAAAAATTATGAGGCTAGCAAGTGGCTCTGGAAGAATGGAATGGCAGAGGAACTTCAGAGAACTCTCGTAATGAAAGTGTCGTTTGAAATGCGAGTGTTGTGAAACTGAACTCCCTCTTACCAGGAAGGTCTTTCAGGGCGTGACAAGCTTTTTGAAAACGGTCTTTTGCATGATATAGGGGCAGATGCGGGACCACAGAACCATGTTTAATTTTTCCTGAACGGCCCTCTGAATACCAGAAAAGGGGGTCCCTAGTTCGATTCCTCTTGGTGACAAATTTTTGCATTTCGAGTTGACGTTCCAAAATTCGCGCAAAATGGAGTTCTGATTGTTCTGGTTGGTTCTAACTCCATTTTGCGCGAATTTTGGCACGTCAACTCGAAATGCAAAAATTTGTTACCACGAGGAATCGAACTAGGGACCTCCTTTTCTGGTATTCAGAGGGCCGTTCAGGAAAAATTGAACATGGTTCTGTGGTTCCCGCATCTGCCCCTATATCATGCAAAAGACCGTTTTCAAAAAGCTTGTCACGCCCTGAAAGACCTTCCTGGTTAGTCGCACAGCACCGAATTTTTTTTGGCTAGAGAGGGGAGGGAGGGGGGGCAGTCGCCGCGCGCGGGCATGGCATGTTCAACATAGTGGAAGCTCGAACATTCCAGCTTTTCACGCATGTCAAGTGACTGCCCTCACCCCCGACCCCCTGAATTTGCCACATTCCCCCTGGCTCACGGATTCCCACTCCGCACTGAGGAAACTGTAGCAATGAATTGAAACGCTCAGGATTTTTAGGGATTCGCTGTGGTGACGCAGCGGGCCGCAAAGCGAATGGCACCTTTATTTCAAAGTTGTCTCACCCTCCTACTCTCAACCTTATTGGAACCCTTCTGCACAAAAATCGGTATTTTCTATCGATATCGATCGACATCATGTAACCCGATGAAGTTTTTGACCACGGCGCAATGTGGCTTGGGGGAGACAGTCGCACTCGAGGCACGTGTGGCAGCAGGAAATTCGCGGGCCAGGGGAATGTGGCCAATCCAGGGGGGTCGGGGGTGAGGGCAGTCACTTGACATGCGTGAGAAGCTAGAATGTTCGAATTTACACTATTCGCTTGAGAGAGCGCTAGGCGCAGACTGAAGCGTCGTCACGTGGTCCCAACCCCAACCCACTTTGCACAAAAAACCGAGTCACAGAGGGTTGGAAAAATGATGAGGCTAGCAAGTGGCTCTGGAAGAATGGAATGGCAGAGGAACTTCAGGGAACTCTCGTAATGGAAGTGTCGTTTGAAATGCGAGTGTTGTGAAACTGAATTCCCTTTTATCCCCACACCACCGAATTTTTTTGGCTCAATGTGGCTCAGGAGAGTGGAGGGGAGGAGGGGGTTGCAGTCGCCGCCGCGGCGCATGGCATGTTCGACATAGTGGAAGCTCGAACATTCCAGCTTTTCACGCATGTCAAGTGACTGCCCTCACCCCCGACCCCCCTGAATTTGCCACATTCCCCCTGGCTCACGGATTCCCGCTCCGCACTGAGGAAACTGTAGCTGGCAATGAATTGAAACGCTCAGGATTTTTAGGGATTCGCTGTGGGTGGCGGCAGCGGGTCCCGCAACGAATGGCGACCTTTAAAAGTTCTCCCACCCTCCTACTCTCAACCTTATTGGAACCTCTCTGCGCAAAAATCGGTATTTTCTATCGATATCGATCGACATCATGTAACCCGATGAAATTTTTATTCTGACCGGCGCAATGTGGCTTGGGGGGGGGACAGTCGCACTCGAGGCACGTGTGGCAGCAGGAAATTCGCGGGCCAGGGGGAATGTGGCCAATCCAGGGGGGTCGGGGGTGAGGGCAGTCACTTGACATGCGTGAGAAGCTAGAATGTCGAGATAACAGATTTTGGGCGCACCTAAGTGCAGTTTAAATAAATAAATAAATAAATAAATAAATAAATAAATAAATAAATAAATAAATAAATAAATAAATAAATAAATAAATAAATAAATAAATAAAAATACTTTCACTAAGCTGCGGAGGCCCTCTACCCCCCCCCGAGCCACATTGCGCCCTGAACACTGCCCCCGATTAATACTTTGACTTCCGACCTTATTCGAGCCCTCTGCACAAAAACCGACATTCTCAATCGATATCGATCGACATCATGTAACCCGATGAAAATTTTTATTCTGACCACGGCGCAATGTGGCTTGGGGGGACAGTCGCACTCGAGGCACGTGTGGCAGCAGGAAATTCGCGAGCCAGGGGGAATGTGGCCATTCAGGGGGGTCGGGGGTGAGGGCAGTCACTTGACATGCGTGAGAAGCTAGAATGTTTGAGACGACACTACTTCGCTAAGCTGCGGAGGCCACTGCCCCCCCCCCCGACCACATTGCCCCTGAACACTGCCCAATCAATACTGTGGCTTCCCAGCCTCTTCGAGCCCTCTGCGCAAAAACCGATATTTTCGATCGATATCGATCGATGGCATGTGACCCGATGAATTTCCACTTTTACTACAGCAACCAATCAATACTGTGATTCCCAGCCTCCTTCGAGCCCTCTGCGCAAAAACCGATATTTTCGATCGATATCGATCGATGGCATGTGACCCGATGGAATTTCAACTTTTACTTCAGCAACCAATCAATACTGTAATTCCCAGCCTCCTTCGAGCCCTCTGCGCAAAAACCGATATTTTCGATCGATATCGATCGATGGCATGTGACCCGATGGAATTTCAACTTTTACTTCAGCAACCAATCAATACTGTAATTCCCAGCCTCCTTCGAGCCCTCTGCGCAAAAACCGATATTTTCGATCGATATCGATCGATGGCATGTGACCCGATGGAATTTCAACTTTTACTTCAGCAACCAATCAATACTGTGATTCCCAGCCTCCTTCGAGCCCTCTGCGCAAAAACCGATATTTTCGATCGATATCGATCGATGGCATGTGACCCGATGAAATTTCACTTTTACTTCAGCAACCAATCAATACTGTGATTCCCAGCCTCCTTCGAGCCCTCTGCGCAAAAACCGATATTTTCGATCGATATCGATCGATAGCATGTGACCCGATGAAATTTCTGCACTTCACCAACCAATCAATACTGTGATTCCCAGCCTCCTTCGAGCCCTCTGCGCAAAAACCGATATTTTCGATCGATATCGATCGATGGCATGTGACCCGATGAATTTCACTTTTACTTCAGCAACCAATCAATACTGTGATTCCCAGCCTCCTTCGAGCCCTCTGCGCAAAAACCGATATTTTCGATCGATATCGATCGATGGCATGTGACCCGATGGAATTTCCAACTTTACTTCAGCAACCAATCAATACTGTAATTCCCAGCCTCCTTCGAGCCCTCTGCGCAAAAACCGATATTTTCGATCGATATCGATCGATGGCATGTGACCCGATGGAATTTCAACTTTTACTACAGCAACCAATCAATACTGTAATTCCCAGCCTCCTTCGAGCCCTCTGCGCAAAAACCGATATTTTCGATCGATATCGATCGATGGCATGTGACCCGATGAAATTTCAACTTTTACTTCAGCAACCAATCAATACTGTAATTCCCAGCCTCCTTCGAGCCCTCTGCGCAAAAACCGATATTTTCGATCGATATCGATCGATGGCATGTGACCCGATGAAATTTATGCACTGACCACATGTCCCATTCAGTACTGTACGTTCCCAGCCTCCTTCGAGCCCTCTGCGCAAAAACCGATATTTTCGATCGATATCGATCGATGGCATGTGACCCGATGAAATTTCAACTTTTACTTCAGCAACCAATCAATACTGTAATTCCCAGCCTCCTTCGAGCCCTCTGCGCAAAAACCGATATTTTCGATCGATATCGATCGATGGCATGTGACCCGATGAATTTCAACTTTTACTTCAGCAACCAATCAATACTGTAATTCCCAGCCTCCTTCGAGCCCTCTGCGCAAAAACCGATATTTTCGATCGATATCGATCGATGGCATGTGACCCGATGAAATTTCGACTTTTACTACAGCAACCAATCAATACTGTGATTCCCAGCCTCCTTCGAGCCCTCTGCGCAAAAACCGATATTTTCGAATCGATATCGATCGATAGCATGTGACCCGATGAAATTTCGACTTTTACCACAGCAACCAATCAATACTGTGATTCCCAGCCTCCTTCGAGCCCTCTGCGCAAAAACCGATATTTTCGATCGATATCGATCGATGGCATGTGACCCGATGGAATTTCCAACTTTTACTTCAGCAACCAATCAATACTGTAATTCCCAGCCTCCTTCGAGCCCTCTGCGCAAAAACCGATATTTTCGATCGATATCGATCGATGGCATGTTTGGTGGATTACCAAAGGAAGATTGTACTAAGGACGTGCAACAAGGATTTTACTTAACTGTTTAGCACAATATCGGACACAATAATAACTTTAGGGGATTACTAACAGTGCGTTGCAAAATCATAGGACACCCCCCAAAAATATGAATATCGCGGCTCATAGAGACCGTCGTTCAACGACTCCTGTGAAATCAGAATTGCCTTTATGAGAAACCTATACTCACAATTTACCAGCTTATCCGACTTGTTTTCCGTACTTTTAGATAAATTTTTTGATTTTGGAGCCGTTGCAAAATCATAGGACACCCCTCAGAATTCTCTTTACTGTGAATTTTTTTTAACCAACCATCAACGGAAGTAGCTCTTATTAAGTGTATGGCAACTCTATTGGAAACTGCGGTTTCGAACGATCACCTCCCCTCCGTGAGTGGAAGCCAGACGATGCTTTTACATGCGCCTTATGGCTCTACCACGACCATCGAAGCCATTTCTGGATGTTCAAGGAAAACCGTAGCCTGGTACTCCAAACTCTCACTACGGATAAAAATAAGAGAGTACCAGGATAATCACAATACCTCCCCGAAAGGATCGGCATATAACTTCGAAGACTACATCGAACAAAATCACCATGCACGCTCAGTTGGTGTCAGCTCTATCGCAAAAAGCGGATGAAGGCGAAATCATCTACCAAAATCATTGGTATGGACAACTAGCGTAGGGCCTTGCTAAGCCTGCTGCCATGCTCATTAGGCGCTGTGACTGAAACATGAGAAGAGAGAAACTCCAGGTGTGGGACTCGGGATGAGGTAACGCATCCCCATATCTTAGGAAACCGCCACGAGATTTTTGGTGAAGGATTATCGTCGAATCCTGGCCTATTCCTCTAATAATGAACAGCATCATCTGCATCATTGAAATCAAGTACTTGTATCCAGAAAAGCGGTCTCAGAGAAACAAAATTTTTATTGACCTGAACGGAAGTTTGCTCAACAAAGCGCTGCCTTGGCCCGGTCTTTCATTGAATTTCTCTTCTCCGCTTTCAGTCACAACGCCTAACGAGCATGGCAGCACGCTTAGCAGGACCCTACGCTAGTTGTCCATACCAATGATTTTGGTAGATGATTTCGCCTTCATCCGCTTTTTGCGATAGAGCTGACACCAACTGAGCGTGCATGGTGATTTTGTTCGATGTAGTCTTCGAAGTTATATGCCGATCCTTTCGGGGAGGTCTTGTGATTATCCTGGTACTCTCTTATTTTTATCCGTAGTGAGAGTTTGGAGTACCAGGCTACGGTTTTCCTTGAACATCCAGAAATGGCTTCGATGGTCGTGGTAGAGCCATAAGGCGCATGTAAAAGCATCGTCTGGCTTCCACTCACGGAGGGGAGGTGATCGTTCGAAACCGCAGTTCCAATAGAGTTGCCATACACTTAATAAGAGCTACTTCCGTTGATGGTTGGTTAAAAAAAATTCACAGTAAAGAGAATTCTGAGGGGTGTCCTATGATTTTGCAACGGCTCCAAAATCAAAAAATTTATCTAAAAATACGGAAAACAAATCTGATAAGCTGGTAAACTGTGAGTATAGGTTTTTCATGAAGGCGATTCTGACATTATAGGTTTCGATGAACGACGTTCTCTAGAAGCAGAGATATTCATGTTTTTGGGGGGTGTCCTATGATTTTGCAACGCACTGTATACACAATATGTGGGCGGTCCTCAGATATCGTACCGTCGCTGGACCGTAGGGGGCCAGCGGTGGTACTCAAGTTTGGGGAATGAAAGAGCGGACCGCGCCGACGGCAGAACCTACTTGATTGCACACTTATGATACCGCCGGGTCATGCCTGCGGTATCATCTCAAGAGATACTCATATCAAGTTATGCCTATGGTTAATAAGTTGAACTAGCATGTTATCAATCATTTGTATGAATCCTAGTTCTATTAGGAGTTATAGGTTGTGTATCCACAACACTGGGGCGGGGCGAAATGAAGCGGTAGCTGCAAAAGCTGTAATAAAATCTAACAAAATTAAGTGACTATTTCAGGACACCCTGAATTGAATGGTGAGATAGATTTCTGTTTTGATATGACGACAATTGACGACAACATGGGGCAAGGCGAAAATAAGCGGTAGCTAGATGTACAATAAAGGAGCTATGTTACTTGAATTTTCTAAAACATCAATTACAGCAATAATGATGAAAATGGTTCCAATGATTGGAGTTGTTCCTCAGATGCTGCTCGGAGTGTGTAGACGTGGTAGGATGTCCATTTAATTCTTGGCTTGCTGCGCTGACTTCTGTTGTCGCAGTCAAAATATTCTTTCCCGAAGTTGTGGCTGTAGTTATTCTCGTCCCTTCCGGTGCGATAAGGCAGCAGTAGCAGAGCACGTGCGGAAGACTTTGACGAGCTGTCGAGCTTCATACAGTCCTGCTTCCTGCTATCGCTCGTTTGTGTTGCTTGCTGCCGGTGTTTCCTTCTAGACGTTCGGCTAGGCATGTGTTTACGGCGTGGATCTACCTTACGCGTAATGTTTCGTTCCTGTCCTTCAGTTGCGGTAGAGATTGGCACAACGTTGAAATGTGTGCTGCGCACAAAATCGTCTTTGATTTTGGCAGAGGTAACCTTGCTCGATCCGGAGATCGTGTATCCGAATATAGTGGGGGTTAAAATGAGTCCTGATGGAAGGATCATCGCTGGTGTGTCACAGCATAAGACTTGATTGAGAAGATCCTGTCCTATTATAAGATCAGGTGTAATCTCGGACGATTCAAGGCTGCATTGAGCAATTGAGAAGTTTCTTTCATTGATGAAGCGTTTGTCGGAATGAGATAGTTGTGCTGTCCATGTGGGTGCTGTTAGCTTAGGTTTGGAGTGAACCACCTGCCGTATCAACTTTCTGGAGCTGTGCAGGCTTTTCAGAGTTATACTAACTTCTTGAGAGTCGAAGGTCTCCTGAAGCTCACCCATGCCTATGGTGGTGAACTTTGTAGAGCTTCGGGTGGGAAGTTGCAGTTGATTTTTGATCTTCGCCTTTAGAAAGCTTTTCTGAGCTCCCGAATCAAGGAGAACATTGATTGGTTGGTATTCCATTTCGGCTTCATTGAAGATTAGCAACGACGCTGTTTGTAGTACGCACTGAGTGGTTGTCGGTTGTTTCGACTGCGAAGTCATGCCTTCAATGAGAGCAGCGTGTAATGCTTGCACTCTATCCGCTTGCCTTGCGTGGTTGTTGTTTCTTTGTTCTAGCTGCCGATAGCGGTTGGTTGGTGGTGAGAATGGAGCTCTAGCAGTTTCATGCTGAGCAGAACTTTGTGGTGGGTCTTGTCGCCGATTGGACAAGCTCATTGGCTCCAGACCAAATCTCGATGTTATGCAGAGCGAAGAATGGTGATCCTCCGTGCATTTCGGGCATGGTCCCATTGCTGTGCATGATCTCGACCCATGAGTTTTATCGAAACATTTCCAGCACATTCCCTGGCGCTTGGCTTCCATTCGGCGAGCCTCAGGTGTAGGGAACCTGGCGCACTGATGTGGTGAGTGCGCTTCTCCACACAGACATGCATGCCTCATTCGATGACTAGGGGACTGCTTGCTTTGGTGGCGTCCATTATCATGTCCTCTGGCGTTGTTCTGCATGGCTTGCGTGGTTTGAGTACCGAACAACGTCTTTGTTGTTAGCTCGGTAGTTTCTTGAAGAGTTATAATTTCATCAACGGCGTCAAGAATATTCTTCACTTCGAATCCTGTGCCACCTTCGTTTTCTTTCTTGATTACTTGGCTACAGATATTCTCTGTGAATTTTGAGAGAATAAGGCGTCGCCATACTCTGTCTGCGTTCATTGGCATTCCAGTTTGCTCCAGGTGCACGATTCGAGAAGATATGGCATTGAGTGTATCGCGGCAACTTCTCGAGTTTTCTTGTGCCCTAGGCAGATGCTCAATCTCGTTTATTAAGATGTCCGCTATGCCTGATGATCTATCGAACTGTTTCTTAAGTATATTCAGAGCGACGCTGTATTTGTCACCAATGACTGGAATGCTGTTGATTGAAGCAGCTGCCTTTCCTTTTAGTGCTTGTTTCAGAAAAAGGAATTTTTCTTGGTCACTCAAGTCCGTATCTTTGTGTATGAGGGACTCGAAAGACTGACCAGAAGGTATTGAACTCCCTGAAGTCTCCAGAAAAGGTTGGGACTTCGAGCAGAGGGCGTCGAACTCGTATGTTGCGGTCGTATGGATTGACAGTGTCACCTCCGCTGTGAGAATTGTTCTGACTGCTACCAGCCTGGTTGGCAATGCTAATGGCTTCCGCTATGAATTGAAGCTTGCTGCATCAACTCTTCCTTTCTGAAGTCGATCTTGCTCAGCCATTGTATTATTGTGATTTCCAGACCATTTGATTCGAGCTCCATGTGGTTGTTAAGCTCGAGCATCAGCTTTTCTCGATCCTTCTGCTCCGAACGTGAACTAATTGTTTCGATCGCTTTGTCAAGACAGGTATCGTGGAGCTGCTTCGCCTTAGTGATCGTTGTTATCAAATGGTTTAGCTGTGCTGTCTTTTCTCTTATATACACCTCGCATACCTCCTTTTGAGTTGGGAATATGAACGGGTTGTCTAAAAGCTTGAGATCTGACTCGCTTGAACGGATCAGCTTGCATGCATTCGTGATTCTGGTCTTAAACAGTTGAATCTCAGCCATTTTTAGTGCTGAGGGTTGTTTGAGATCGGTGGTTTATGCTTAGATTTGAGCACAAGTTGTTCGAAACCAGTGAGCGTCTAAACTGTTTGAAGCTTGAGCTCAGTTCGATATTTCTTTTGAAACACCTTGGTTTCGTGTAGGATGAATTTCCTGCCACGCGGGTCTTTTTTGAGTTCCTCAGGGAGGAATTTGTGTGAAAACTTGACTTTTTGACTAGTGATGTAGTCAAAAGTTTGTCGAATTTCCGTGTTCCTCAGGGAGGACTTGTTCGAAAATTAGATTTCTTCTGTTTTCTCACTGGGGAGAATTTGCGCAGAAGATGAGTGATTGTTTCCCGGTTCCTTATGGAGAACTCGCAGGAAAATTCCCGAAGTTTCTTTCCAATTTGCTTGGAAGAACTGGTTTTTTTGCCCACCTTTTCTCGTTGTAGAGAAGAGGCTTGGTAGGTCTTTATGTTCAAGTCCTACTTCCTTCTGGAGGAGGTGTAGGAGGCTTGAAGTTTACCTTTCTTTTCTTACAAGAAGAAAATTTGCTTGAAAGGTTTTTTTTGTTTCCAGCTGGTGGAAAACAATGGAAGTGTCCTTCTGTCTCTCACTGGGAGAGCTAGCGCAGAAGGTTTAGTCTGATTTCCGTATTCCTCAGGGAGGAATAACTTGTGAAATTAGACTTTTTGACTAGTGATGTAGTCAAAGGTTTGCCAAAGTTCCGTTCCTCAGGGAGGAATTGTGAGGAAATTCGGCTGGTTGATGAAGTAGTTCACCTTCTGTCTTTCACTGGGAAAGCTAGCGCAGAAGGGATCGTTTCCAACGGTCGATGCACCAATTTGGTGGATTACCAAAGGAAGACTGTAAACGGAATCTTCCTTTTGGTAATCCACCAAATGGTGGCATCGACGCGTGAAAACGATCCTCAGCGCTACTTTCCAGAAAGACAGAAGGTGACGTCACATCATTTACCCTTTACTGCCGACTCTCAGAACTCGAGTCCGCACTTTTGATCGAAATTCGTCCATGACTGTGGATTTTGCTAGAAACTTGCCTTCAGGGTAATTTGACCCGTAGATCACGAATATAATACCGGTTTAGAGCGAAAACGCTTGGCGCCCGCGCCACAGGCGCCGGCGCTATCACAACAGTTTTGCGCGGGCGCTCGTAGCGCAGGCTACAGGTTCACTCGTAACAAACTGATGTGATAATCATATTCTACGGGTCAAAATACCTCTGAGGACAACTTTCCAGCGAATTTGGGGATCCGAGATGTTCTGGCGCCTTTTGGCGCCGGCGCTTCTGACGCGAGCGCCAGGCGTTCTAGCGGTAAACAAATGTGATATTCGTGTTCTACGGGTCGAATTACCCCACGAACCAAGTTTCTGGCCAAATTCACAGTCAATGACGAATTTCGATAAAACTCGGCTCAGTTCTCGAGGAGAGGGGCAGTAAAGGTATAATATGGCCCATTCACGGGGCTTATATACACAATATGTGGGCGGTCCTCAGATATCGTACCGTCGCTGGACCGTAGGGGGCCAGCGGTGGTACTCAAGTTTGGGGAATGAAAGAGCGGACCGCGCCGACGGCAGAACCTACTTGATTGCACACTTATGATACCGCCGGGTCATGCCTGCGGTATCATCTCAAGAGATACTCATATCAAGTTATGCCTATGGTTAATAAGTTGAACTAGCATGTTATCAATCATTTCTATGAATCCTAGTTCTATTAGGAGTTATAGGTTGTGTATCGATCGATAGCATGTGACCCGATGAAATTTCGACTTTTACCACGCCCCAATCAACACTGTGATTCCCAACCTCATTCGAGCCCTCTGCGCAAAAACCGATATTTTCAATCGATATCGATCGATAGCATGTGACCCGATAGAATTTCGACTTTTACCACAGCCCCAATCAACACTGTGATTCCCAACCTCATTCGAGCCCTCTGCGCAAAAACCGATATTTTCAATCGATATCGATCGATAGCATGTGACCCGATAGAATTTCGACTTTTACCACAGCCCCCAATCAATACTGTGATTCCCAACCTCATTCGAGCCCTCTGCGCAAAAACCGATATTTTCGAATCGATATCGATCGATGGCATGTGACCCGATGAGAATTTCCACTTTTACACAGCAACTTTACTTCAGCAACCAATCAATACTGTAATTCCCAGCCTCCTTCGAGCCCTCTGCGCAAAAACCGATATTTTCGATCGATATCGATCGATGGCATGTGACCCGATGGA